TAAGTTAAACAATTTTTTTATAATTTTATTTAAAATTATAGTATTCACATTTTTTTTATTGGTTTAGAATTTATACTTTTAAAAATTAATGACATTTATTGCCTTTTTCAAACAATTCAAAACACTTTTTTAGAAAACAATCAAGGTAAACAAATAGAGTCTGAAAATCTGTTTTTGATACAATTAAAACTCTTATATCACCGACGCACAATTCTTCTACACTTTTTAAAGGCAGCAAGGAAATTGACCATATATCTTCTAAAAATATTAAAACTATTTTGAAATAAAATAATTTTATAAACAACCATATTCTCCATGTCATAGATAATCAACTTGCCAATATATATATATATATATATATATATATATATATATATATATGTATTCATTTTAGCTGTTGTGACTTATAATATTAATAATTTTTTAAAGTAAAACCCAACTCTTTTTTCTTTTTTCTTTTGACAATTAACAACCATTAATATTAGGTTGAATAATAAACAAAATTTTAAGCACTTTGAATACTTGCAATACATGTTTTTATAACTCTATCAAAAAGTTATTTTAAAAAAAGTCACCAATGAATCTGCTTTAATATGTTTTATAATACTGATTTTTTTCTTGATCTTATCTTATTTTATTTTATTTTTAATCTCAATTAATTAATTATTTTTCTTTTTAGATTATTCAATAATTATATATTTATTCTAAATATAGCTCTCTTTTTTTAGGTAAACTATATTTTTCTTGTCATATAAAGTTGAATCATAAATAATTATACTGTTAAACTCATATATTAAAAATACTATATAAAACAACATTATTTTGTAAGCCAAGAAATTTATCAAAACTCTGCTCTTGATCTTATAGATATGTACTAGTTTAATTATTACCCTCGTTATCCTACAAATCAGGCAGAATATACGAAATAATTTGAAAAAATTATTTTAATTTATGATCTTTCGTTATACTATGACTCTATGAGTCCGTCAATATATTAAATCAAGAAAAAAAATTCATCTAATTTAATAATTTTTAGTAAAATTTTATATTTAACTGATTCTTTCTCATAATTTTTGTACAAAAAAAACATTATTTTTATCATCCATGGATTCTTAATTAAAAACTTCTAATAATTAAAAAAAAAACTTAATACAAAAAAAAAAAAGTCATACCATTTTTTTATAAGATTGTGTCGTTAAAAACTTGCATAAAAATAAATAAATAAAAAAATTATTTTTGATTCTTAGTAACATTGATGAGATTGTTTAAAAAATTAATTTAGCTTTATCTAAACCACATAGTTTCATTTAACTTAAAAATAAAAATAAATTAACTAAATTACAAATTAAGAAATTTAAAATTAAGAAAAACCCTACATTATGTTTAGATCTACCAAAAACCCACCAAAAATAATCAAAACTCTCTCACTCCTTCCTTTCTTCACCTCTAATTCCTTTATGGCCTATGTCAAACTCTTTTCAAAGTCACAACTTTCTTCCTCGTTTTCTCCAAACCCCACAACACGATCACCCGCAAACCGGAGCTTAAGGTGAAACGAGAAGATTAACGAACTAATTAATGGATAAAGGGACCGATACCACTGTATATGTATTTTTCAATTATTGTTGTTCTGCTTTTAATTATGAGTTAGTTGTAGCATTTATCAGGTTTCAGATTTAGGAAGGAGATTGTGGTATGGATGAAAAGAGATTAAGAAATTAAATTTAGTAGCAGGAGCTGAATAAATTAATGATGAGAAAGATGTGGATAAAACACTAGTAGGTGGGGAAGAAAATAAATTATTTTGTGCAATCATATAATAAAATGATTCACAATAATCCTGCACTAAAATAGGTTTATTATTGGAAAGAAATATTTGACTATTTGAGACTTAAAGGACTTGAAATTTTCATATAATCAATTTTTCACGTTTAGTTTATTTCTTTCGTAGGATGGAAATGCAAATCAGACTGCTGGTTTTATATATATCATGCAATAACTCTTATAGTTGTGTTTATAAAATTTTCTCATGAGTTTTTTTCCACACAAAATTTGTTTTTTCTTTTTACTTAATTAATGATAGTGGTTAGTTGATCGTTTATCAATTAATATAAAAGATCAAATTGAAATCTTGGAGGAAATTTAAAAATATGTTTAGTATAAACAAAGTGTTAATATTTGGCTTTGAATGCATTTTATAGGATTTTAAAATGAAAATATGTCTAAAGAATAATTTTAATATTTGATAGCATACAAGATTGGAAAGATTGAAAATGTTGGTTACAAATGGAAGCCCGGTTACCATTAAGTTCAAAATTCTTAAAAATTAATGTTTTCATCATGTAAAGGTAGGATGTCTCATCTTAATCTCCACATGGTATTAGCAATCTATAAATCTACAACAGAATCCTGTATAAAGAAACAAATTATAATGTGTTGTAATTATTATTATAATTATTTATGCTTCATCTCTAAATATGTTGATTAATTGTTAATACAATTGCATAGAAAATGGAAGATAAAAGTTTGTTTAATGTGAAATCAAGTCATAAATGTAAAATTTCGAAGATTAAGATCTTATGTTTGGTTTGCATTTTTATCTTTAAAATTTCACCAACATCATAAATCTCTCTTTCTAGGAGGAGATATTATCTTGTTGTTTAAAGTATTAAAAGAAGCAATAAATAAATAAATAAATAAAATCTTTAATATCAAATAATTCAAATATATATTTGCAAGAACATTTTTGCTTTCATGAAAAAACTTGATAACCGTGTAAATGATAAGAATAACAAGAGATATTTTTGTGGATTCTCAATAAATAAAAAATATAACTTCCTCAATGATGTTTGGATTTACACAAGAAAGATTTCTGCCGTAAAAATCAATTTTTATGAACCAAATGTGAATTTAATATCTATAGTTAGGGTTGCTAATAGATTGAATCTTGATCCAAATTTGATCTGAATCTCATGTAATTAAATGAATCTTGTAAATAATTTAATAAACTATATAACTAGAAATTAAAATTGGTCAAACATAAATAAATCAAGTTATTTTTATTAACTTCTATCAAACATTTAATTGACACATGAGGTCATATAAGATAATGGTAAATTGATTTTTTTTTTCTATTGTAAATTAGTCGATGTCTGAAGTCATTGGCTCCTGCAGAGGGGGAAAAAATGGAAGAGCTTTGACTAAAATACTTCAATCCGGAAAATTATAAATATATACAAGTAGTCTTTAATAGGTCTATAATAATGAAAAAATCAATCTAATATAATCCTGTGTTTTGGTGAATTCTTCAGTAAGCCCTTCCATTAGTAATATTAATTGAATCTAACCAAAAAATAAAAAAATAAAAAAATCCTCAATCCACTTTAGTTAAAAACAAAAAACCTAAAATTAGAATAGAAAAATTAAAAAGTCTACTGTTATTTCTACTGTTATTTACAGAAAATATAAGCTTTTCATGTCTTGTTTGAAGATTTAGATTATTTATTTCCAATTATTTCTAGAATAATTTTATTTGTTTGGTGACAATTTTTGTCATTAATGTAGATCAAAGGTATTTTGGATATTTACTTAATATATATGCCAGATTTAACAAATATCTCTAAAAGTAAGATTTATCACCAAAATACAAGGTTTTATCGACATGATTTTTTCTTATTAGGAACTACCTCTACATGCTGATAAATTATTGTTGTATAGAGAAATTAATAAAAGAGGAATGCTAATTTAATAATAAAAAAATCTAATATAAAATTATTATCCAAAAGATTATAAGCAGTTCAAATACCAATGAGACTCATTGATTTTGGAAAAAAAAACCACAGAGAGAGAGAGAGAGAGAGAGAAACAAAGGAAAACTCAGTAAAATTTGCATTATTCTTCATATATAAGGGTATCAGGAATTTTATAAAATTCATGCTACAATATATTGGTACCATTTTTCATTTTTGAAATCTTGGAAACCATGTATGAGATAACCTTTGTAACTTTTAGAAACCTTAAAGTAAATTGGATCAAAATTGAGATGTTCAGAGCATCAATATAGTTTCTTAACTATCACCTAGACCTGCATTTTGGCTAATGAGCTCGAGTCATGCTTGGGCTCGACTTTCTCAACACGGCAAGTGGAAATAGTCAATTATGGAGAAACAAATGTAATAAAATAGGAACGCTAATTCTATATATATAAAAAAAAAATTACTTTTTTAAAATCAGCATCCAAAAAAAGTCATACTACTATTGAATTAGTGCAACCCACCAATGACAGTCATCATTGATAAATAATAATAAATAAATAAATAAAAACTGTCAATTTTGCGCCATTCTTTATGCAAACAGTTGTGTCCTTTTTTGGATGCCCCCTGACCCATAAGCAGTTAATTGATTAGACTACAATTTTCTAGGCTTCATCTATAAGCTGTTAATTATATCTCGAGCTTTATTAAAAAAAATTGAGCTATCGAAAAACTTAGAAAGAGTTAAGGAAATCAAATAGACTACAAATAAAAAATTTCCACCTGCTTTATTCTTTTTTCAGTTTTGATTTTCTGTAATTAGTGCTTTTTGATGCATGCTTAAAATATTAATGCAGCTAAATAATGCCAAAATTTCCACTCCAAACTTCTATCATTTTTTGTGTTCGCAGTTTCCAATTACATCATATAATCAGAGCGCAATCTAATTCCCAATCAAACATTGCAACATTAAAATTTTGACAAGGAGGTTAAGGATCCTACAAGAGCTTTACTTTGTTGGAAAAATGGAACACTGAAAAAAATAATTTAATTTCCTATGTAAGCATCCAGTACAACTATTCCACTCCGAAAGTTGTATGACACACTCTACTTAAAATGTTATTGCCACCCTATGCATTTACAATTTTGCAGACATCCTCCACAAGTTAAAAGGTTGATGATGGAGAAAATAGGTTAGAACACTAGTAAAGTATTGTCAACTCACATTTTCCGCAACCTGGCTAGATATCATGATGATGTTTGAATATCACTTTCGCAGAACCTCCATGATCCATCATCTTGCCTTTTTAGAACATAAAGGATTCTATAGGTGCTGCAATACATCAGTCACACAAGTATACACAGAGATTATCAAAACAACATGTTTCTGGATTCAAGTTTCACAGAAACGTGGAAGAATTGATGCTTTAATAAGATAAAAGTATGGCAATTATTTAGAAACACTACTAATGGAGCACCTCGGAATCTAGATTCATTAATGACCAACTGTTCAGCTACATGTACTTTTATGAGTGTTTGCGAGAATTAAAATTTCATTAAAGTTGTGACTCTTTAGTATTTCACAACTGATGTGGGACAAGGTTCACTGAAATACAATCTAGTAACAAGAAGCAATATAAATGTACTGACCTGTAATAGTTTGGGTTTTTCTGCTGAGATTCATCAACAAGCTCTGCTGCTTCCTCGAGGAGAACTTCAATTTCTGCAATCTCCACACCATATCCATCTGAGAAAATGTCAGCTTGCAGAATGGACAGTTGCAGCAAAACAAATCTCCAATAACAAGACTGTGCTTTTGCTGCATCAGCTAAAGCTTGCCACTGTGGAGAAAAATGCAAACAAAGCAAGCAATCAATTAATGCTTTGAATCTTTAGAAACAAACAGAATTTGTGAATTTATATTTGTTGTGATTCTGTATTTCCTTCCATCGTGCACATAAAAATATGCAGGGGCTATAGCAATGTCATTTGAACCAAGAAAAGTTATTAGTAGTCTAATTCATTACAACCAAATTAAATTTCTTCGAACTCATCATTAAACTGTTTTGCAAATGATATCCCCAGAATCCTCAAAAGAAGAAATTGCATCCCTAGAACATTGACTAAATTTCAATAGTTTACATTCTTGATGAAATTAATGTTGAAACCAAATTTGAAGTATTTTGTTTGGACCACAAGAATTTAATAGAGTATCTATACCACAGTGAACCACAATAGTCGATAAGCTTACTAATTAAACTCTTATAGAACAAGAGAACTGAATTATATTTTACAATTTAAAATGTCATTTATGATTGGTAACTTACTGTGTAATCAGATGACCCAAAAAATTTAATGCATCTTCAAAGTCACTTGTTCAGCTTTACAAGATTATTAGATCGGTAGCTCAATGATTGAATATCTTACCGCAACAAATATATTTTACCTGGGCAAGCATGGACTCATCAAGGACTTCAGTGAGGCTGCGAACTTGGTAGCTAGGACCCAGAGCTTCAGCTTTAATTGCTTGCCAATGATTAACAAGAGCTTCAGCTTCTTTAACAGGCATTTGCTTCCTAGATACAGTTGCCATAGAAGATGATATACTAGCAGCAAGCCTTGAACTTTGCAATTTTTTAGGATCTGACTGGTTTCTAAACTGCATTTTAAGCATGGACAACAGCTTTCTCATTCTTCCAGTAATACCACTCCCTCTAATATAAACAGGGCGAACATTGTGATCAAGAGAAGAATCTGTTGTCCAGGCAATGGAACTGGTGCCCATACTAGTTCTATCAGAGTTCAATTTAGATGCAACACTAATCCTTCTTGCACTCATGCCTGACAGTTTAAGGGTAATAAACACAATGCATCCCAATACTGCAACAAAACTTATCTTTCCAACCACATCTTCCAGTTGTAACCAACTTTCCCAAGTTTTTCTATTTTGAGCACCAAGATCTCTCTTCAATTGAACTGATGGTTCATTAATGTTGCTTCCACTGCCATTCTTCGTCAATATCGATGAGCTTTGCAAATCAGTTGGAGCCAACTGCTTAACAGCAGACCTAAAATGTTGGGAAGAGTTCATACATGGAAATGATTCCCCAGAATCCATTCGTTTCATAGCAACATCAGACAGCGGTCGATGGGATACAGTAGAAGTGGCTTGTGCAGTTACTCTACTTTTCTTGCTCCCAATAGCTCTCTTTTCACCACCAAAAAAATTCACCTGCAGAAACATACATTTGTAACGACAGTTCCTGCTGATGCTAGAGATTATCAGTCACTTTATGGTTCATAGATATGATTCTTACCAAAAAAGGAGAGCAGTCTCTAGTATCTGAAAAGACAGCAAGCACAGAATCCTTTAGCCATGTTTCCTGGTAAAGTCAGCAGGTATTCTGACATGAGAAAGTATCAACATTCAAGAATCATCTAATGCATGAACTTAATTAATCATATCACTTGTCCTGAAACCATGAAGGGGAAAGACCATAAATAGAATGAACATAAAAGAGAAATGTCTTCAATAGTGGGATTTTCTGTAATGGAAATAAACAGAAAAGAGATATCATGGCCAATTAATAAGACTTTAATATATCAACTTTGCTTGACACTATCCTGTTTCCCTGAATTCATTCATCAATACTCATGTAAAGAATCATTGCTGGAAGATGCACACGTATCCAAAGTGAGCTGCGTGTATCTAGTTCAATCATAGTGAAAGAATCTTTTAATAGAACAGCAAATACTTCAAGATGAAAGTTCAGCGACTAAATTGTACAACATCCAAAATAAAAGCATAGGATATTGGAAGAGGCTCATAACTCGGGAGCCAACATTAAGGTCCCTTCCTTACCCCATGTACCTTTTCCTCTAATACCCCCTTCCATGCATAAGCTCAACAAGAACAGACTTAATCAACCACTAACAAGCCCAAATAACTGAAAGACAGCAGGCATATATTGTAGAGTCTTAGACACAACCAAAGTGGGTCCAATATCATAGAACATACAGCCTAAAAGCTTAAATAGTACAGCACTACATGAGGTTATAAGAAACCTCATATTTGACCAATATCAGGTCATTCAGCAGTCTCCTGAATGTAAACAGCATGAATACAATTAAGTTAGAAGACAGTGGTTATTTACAAGAATAGCATGTAGAGGGCAGCAACAACAACAATAATAATTACAAAAAAAGAAGAAGCAGAACATAATAGGCAAGCTGTGATACCATGTTAAAGCATCCAACCCAAATAGCATATATGCTATTGGATTGGAGGTACTCAAGGGCCCATGTAACAGTGGAAGGCACCTTATGAACAAGGGGCTTGAAACCCCTCTAACATTAAGCAACTAGAGCATGAGTAAATATAGATGGTAAAAAACACCATACCATAACATCCACTAAATTAATATGAAAGAAGTAAGGCCCATAGCAGGAAAAATATGACGACGCCTAAGTCTAAAGTTTACTTGGTGCCTTCCTAACTGTGCTCTCCACCTGTTATTTCAAATGCATGCATGTGGGGATGCACCACTCACAAGGCCAGAATAAAAAATGCATATACCAATGATGGTTTTGCACCAGAGACATCTTTTATCTCCTTTCCCGGGACTAAATTCCGTGCAGCCGGATTTGAATTTGATTCTAGTTGCTGAAGCTTTTCAACTGCCTGGTCTTGATTGCCCTGAAAATAAAAGACGAAAAGTTCCTGAAGTGTTATAATAAAGCAGTGCCAGAAAGAAAGGGCGGGAACTGGGGAGAAAAATGGAAGATTGATAGGAATTGACCGATAAAAACCAAGATATGCAATCCAAATATGCTAATGAAACAGCATCTAAAAATGAAAGGGAGCTCAAAAATATACCTGACCAAGCAGAAACAAGCAGAAAGCTTCTTCAAATTTTAGGTCAATACTCTCTGATGCCATCAAACACTCGCATATAGCTTTTGCTTTGTTGATCTAGCAAACAGCAGAAAAATCTAGATAAGCAAGACAGAACCCACAACTGTTTGACGACAATAAATGGTGTAATATAGGATATATACCAATTCTGTTTGCTTGCTAGAAAAACCAAGAGCAATGTGAGCCAAAAGCACCACGTAAAAACAATTGAAATCAATCACAACCCTTTGATTCTGTGACTCAAGTGATTTCTTATTCTTGCGCATGAGGGCTAAATCATCCCAAGGAAGAAGATCAACTATTTCTGTAGCCATGAGTCTGTTAAGTGCTTGGCTCAGGAAACATGGCCAGTCTTGGACTCTGCATAATGTTTCCACATCAAGGCCCTGCCTGAGCAATTCACGCAAGGCTGCAATTGCTCCTCGTCTCCGTTCTGCATTTTCAGGAGAGTGAGGCATGCCTAATAATTCCAATGTGCAAGCAGGTGCAAGCTCCTCCAAAGATTCTTCTATCTGAAAACAAATGCAACAAGGTTACATCAGACAGCAGATACTGAAAAATACTCCAGAATATGAGAAATGTGGGAAATAAAAGTTGTCTGATACATGTAAAATTTCAAGCACCATCATGTGTTGACAATGTGTCCTTCTAAAAGTTCTATTCACGAGTAACTATTTATTTGCTCTGCTTCATGGAGAATGAGAACATTCAGATCGATTCAACTGCAAGCACCACCTTTGGCACAAGCAATAAGAAATACCATAAAAAAAACATCATGAAGATCCTTAAATGGAGGGGGAGAAAGAGTCCTAGAATCAAAATTACCTGAGATAATAATGCCATCTTGCCAAGTGAGATTTTACTCCTAAGAAGACACTGAGCACGAGCAAGAGCTTCAAAGCCAAGGGACACTTTGTTCCTCTCAAAACTAATCTTCGCAATTGCACACTTCAAGAAAGCACCTATGATAAGAAAAGGGGGCATAACAAGCCTGCTGCTACAAAATTACTACAATTTGACCCTCCTCATTGATTTCCTTACCTCTGCCAATGCCATGGATAGAAGCACATCATGAACATATGGCTTGGCATCTGGATGCTGGAGAGCTGCTCGGCCAATATCCAGCACCAGCTTCTCTTCCCCAACCTGTATCAGAGAAATAAAGATCCCACAATGTTATCTTAAGACCAAATCCTTCTGAAAGGAATAGCAGTGCTTCATATTAGTAAGAAATTCCATTCGTGGAGCCTATGGAATTTGTACAGACTCATACCTCTTGAAGCAGGCAAAGAGCACCAGGCAACCAAGCCCATGGAATTCGTAGAGAGGATTTAGGTGGGATCTTCTCCCGTACATTCCCAGCATATTCTGGTTCAAAGAGAAGCTTATCCCTTACATCCATTAAAAGATCCTGAGATCAAAACAGCATGTAAGAGATTACAAAAACCTAAAATTGTCTTCCTGTGTCATAACAATTTTTTGTGAGTCAGAAAAACTACAAGTTTCAATCTTGATTCTCCACCTGGCGTGATATAACAGCATCCATGGTATAACCCTCTTCTACTTCAGCATTTTTCAATTGCATCACTGACTTAACTATCTCATCTTTCTCTGCTTTATCAGGAACACCAACAAGCTGCAAATTTATTCAACTAGCAGAACGTGACTATCTAAACAAAAACCAGGAACCAAATCAACTTGGTGATAGCTGGAATTGGACATTGAAGAAAATGTCCGAGGAGGAGCGAAACACATCCTAAACCCCAGAAATGGGGCCAAAATTTTTTTATCCTTGATAAAAAAAAATGGTACTCGAGAGAAAAGGTTAAAAAAAGAGGGAAAAAGCAAGAAAAATTCTCGAGTCAGTAAATGAAAGTGGATGTAAGTTATTTTCGATTATACTGTTCATGGACACATAATTATACTGTATATATGTGATCAATATGGGTGGTAGTTAACATATATTATTTCCTGTAGCTTTCAGCATAATGAATATGCACGTCTTTGGACTAGGACTTCCATCTAGCAAAGAGCAAATTATTAGTAGGTACTAGGTAAAACCACTTAATTTTAAATACAAGAATCTCAGCTCCAAAACACCTAAGCCACCACAAAAATAAACATAAAGAAATTTTTAGCTTTCTTATTAACGCCAAAATCAAAGCCAGTACATCTCTTCTAGTCCAACATTTACACCATTATTTACATATTTCTACTAAGAATTAAGTTAATTCATTGTTTAAACACCCATGAAAAATACGGAAATACTTCAAAGACAAACCTCTACACCATTAAGCAGACACTGCAAATCTCCGGCTTGAGAAATACACACCAAAACAAATGCTACAGAGAAACACTGAAATCAAAATCAAAATTTTCTACCATACAAGCAATGCAACTACTTATATATGACACCAAGATAGACTTCTCCAAAACATTCTAATCGAAATTAATACCCCGTCTTTTCCTTCATTTCTGCTGTTTTCAAGATCTAAGAGCTCACTAATACAAAAATCCTCATCGTTTGGAGTATAAAAAACCCTGACTAAAAAGAGTGTGACAGTATCCATCTAACCTGATAACAAGTGACGGGGATTTCAACAGTGGCAGTGGATGTAGCAGTGGCTGTGGCCGTCCTGGTGGCGGCATTGTCAAGAATGCGAGTATCAGTAGTGGCATTCAAACTCCACATAGATTCAAAATCACTCTTTCTCGAAACCCTAGAAACAGAAATTCCAATTCCAGAGGAGGAGGAGGAGGAGGAAGAATTTGTTTTCTTAACAAAACCTAAACAAAGAAGAGACCGTTTACAATCACTTTTGTGGTTAAAGTTGCTGTTGCAATTTCGATATAAATAACAGTAACAGCAACGAGACGACGACGAAGAAGAAAGAACAGTCGGTGTCAGATTCAAATTCGACACCGCCATTTTTTTTCTTTTCTTTTTTTTTTGCTAAATCATTAAAAAAGCAAAGTTCGTTAGCTAACTGCTGCTACATTGGAGATGATAAAAATGCTTGAAATGTGAGAGTTTGTTCGTTTTTCCTTTTTTTCGAAAGAGTAGAGAGATTATGGGCTTTGATTTTGTCGATTTTAAAAATTAATATTTGTTCGCTAAATATGAGAGAGAGAGAGAGATTTTGCTTCTTCAACGAGTGATCTAGAGAACCGTTGCTTTTATTAAAGTTTTTGTCCTCTTTTTGTAAATCTTGATGCCTACGTGTCCCAAATAGTATTTTGCTTTTCTGGTTTATATCAACGTGTCCCAAAGATGATTGGGTATTACTTGGACGGTTAATAAAGCAATCGATGACATGGATTATGAAATGTTGTCGCATCTTTAACCACGGTTATGATCTTGATTATAGTTTTTTTTTTTTTTAATTGAATTTTTTTAGGGTAGTTCACAAGGAGTCACTGTATGCTAAAATGCCAGCTACGGCTACCTAGTATGATTTCTTTCTCGGATTAATTGCATCAAACGTTCTTTTATTTTTTTTAATTTGGTTGTTGCATTTTTTTTTATTATTACCTCTTTTTATTTTTAAAGTTTTTTTTTTAATATAATCTATCCGACTGTTTTTCTTTAAATTTTTTAATCAAAACTCACTGTTAGTATAATTTTTTTACATGACATAACACCTTATATTAGTTTGCCACATTGGAAAAATGAAGAAACAATAAAATCAGAGATTACGAAAGCGACTTTGATCACTTTTCAAAATTTCCAATCCTTCTCTTGAATTTCTCTATTGTTGGTTTGTTGTTGTTGTTGTTGTTGTTGTTGTTGTTATTATTATTTAATGAGTTTAGATCACAATTTTAACGTTTGGCCCACTCAACCAACGCTCCCAATGGGCCAGGTTAAACTTTGTTTCATGGGCCAGTCAATTTGAAGCATGGTTTAACAACAACAACAAGGGCAAATATCAAATATGCCACTAAATTATGAGGGTGTTATTAACTTTACACTAAAACTTTTGTTGGTATTAATTTTATCATTAAATTATTTTGATTTTTTAATTTTTTTTATTGGAATCGTTTTGGTGATAATATTGAGACATAGAGCATCTACATCTTCTTTACTTTATTAATAGTTTTTTTTTCTTTCAATTTACAATGCTATGTTTTCATTAATACGAATTGTATGCTTAATAGTAATACCTTATCTTCTTGTTAAGAAACCTAGGTTCAAAATCTTTTTTTATTTTACTCAAGTATTCCATATTGAAAGTATGATTAATTTTGTTCGAGACAAAAACAATAAAATTTAATATTTTCTAACAAATACAATTTCAAAATTCGAATCCTGCATATTGGTAAGAATTCGCTTGAATACCAACTTGTTTACCATTGACTAATAATTTATTGATAAAATCTTTAGTTTGACATACCAATTTTTGAAGGACTAATGATGCATTTAAAGTACTTGCCTAATTGAGTTTGGTCAAAACACAAATTAAAAGTTAAGGTACTAATTTTTAAGTAAAATAAAGTTCAGAAGAGGTTTGGAGTTTTTAGCCAAATTTTAAACATCAAGGATTTCAAGTGATTCAATGTCTAACCCCCTTGTTATACCTTTGATCCATTTTATTTGTTTGAGCTTTCCATTTGGGTCAAACCAGAAATATTAACCAATAACTTTGGTTGTTGGGGCCTTGTTAATAGCGTTGAAGAGAGCCGAAAGGCTCAACAATTTTAAATGGTTGCTTGGTACTCAAATTTCAAGTTATAGCTAGGTGACTTTATTTATTCATTATCAAGTAATCATGTTGCTCAAGTTTTAATTTAATTACAGCTAATTCACTCCCTCTTATTTACTAGGATTTTCAATTTGATGTAACGATCCTAGCATTGAAGATCGCTTCGATCCCTGCTTTTCTAGATATTACAAGCACCTCATTATTTTTATTTTATTTTCCTTTTCCTTTTTAAATTGTCAATGAAGGGTAAATTTAATTTTTTAAAATCTAAATCTTTAACTTTGTTTTTAATTTTTTATAATTGGTGACTTTTATATGTTCAAATTCTTTATTTTTTTAATAACTTTTTACATTAAAGCTTTTAAAACAAAAAACTAAAGAATAGTAATTTAACTTATTGGATACCAGTGCGAAAAATTTGTATAATTAAGAACTCTACCGAGAAAATCTGCCACCATGATGAAAATGAAAAGGAGAGAAAAAGAAAAAGAAAAAGAAAGAAAATTGATCAGACGACTGCTATAAGATCTCAACCTCATGTACACATAATGACTTCACGTGTTGGACCCAACTTTATCACAATAAATAATGTTCGACCCACCTTTATAAATTGCTAATTTTATAATAATTAAGGTTATGTTTGGTAGAAATTGTTCAAAAAGTCACCTTTAAGGTTTTTCACTCCCTTTCTTTTTATTTGGTACACAAAATTTAGAAGGAAAAAAATATAGAAGGACTTAAATTCTTTTGAATGTACAATATAGCAGTGTGCTTTTAAAATCATTAAAAAAAATATATAATCTCGATTAATATATAAATTGATTCAAAAATATTTTTAATTATTAAAAAAAAAAACACGTAACCACAAAAGTAAGGGTAAGCATTATCCTCCAAGAATAGGGAGTACTAAAGAATTTGTCAATATTGATAAATTTAGAAATAAATAATATTTTTATATTTATTTGAATTCTACTTAATAAACTTATTACAATAAACTCTATCGCATTAATTAAAAACATCTATTTATATTAATTTAGAATACAAAAAAAATATAAATCTTTTAAGGCGGATAATTATATCAGTAGCTATTTGCTATTTTCCCTTGTTCCATCATATAAAATAAAAGCTTAATTTTTTTCCTAATCGTACAATCATTGAATTAGATTATATTGTATCAAAAAAATTGTTATAGTTAGTAATTATACAATCATAACTACTTACAATATTAATTTAGGATTTTATAGAATATCAAGTTTTTTTTATTAAACGATATTCTCGATCTTGGAGCTAGATTTTGCACATCAAATCTAAAGTCGCTCTCTTTGATCTACTCATGATTCAACATAATTGATAACATACATGGTAATAGGTAATCAAATTACATTGTGCTATTATTTCATGAATAAACAAATACTTATAAATATATAACATTTATAAGTAAGGGCAATCCAATTTTTTAAATTACCTTACTATTCTTGACGAGTATTTATAACTAAGGGTAATCCAATTTTTTAAATTACCTTACTATTCTTAATGAGTTTTCTTTATATTTGGACTTTTTACTTTTTAAATTTTTTTAATTGAGATTCTCTCGTTCTTTTTTGCTAAATTAAGACCTTTTACTCTTCAAAATTTCTTATCTCAAATCCTCTATTATAACGCTACTAATAAATGATCGACGTGCTACCTCTACTCTTCGAGATTTTTTATTTTACAATACCATATGTCGATTACCGATTAATGATACTATAACAATGAGTCTAAAGTAAAAAATCTTGAAAAGTAGATGGTCTCAATCAAGCAAAAAAAAAAAAAAAGAGGATTTCAATAAAAAAAAATCAAAGAATACGAGGTCTAAATATGAGAAAAATTCTATTTTTAATTATGTAGTAAATGAATACAAAAAATATTTATATTAATCGATAATTTATGAAAATTTAATAATTACTCAATAAGGATTAACAATAATTGATATCATGAATCTTTTTCCTGAACGGCATTCACTATGGTTAAATTAAATAATTACCTGAATATTAACTAAATGCCAAAAAAAAAAAAAAGTTTACGATCGACAAGTAATATATGATGATATTTTATGACACAATCATATTTCGTAAATTATGTTTAATATGATAACTAAGTATAAAAAATAGGCCACATGAATATTACATAGAATTGATACTTCAATTCATATAATGTCATAGATAAATATTAATTATTTGTTAATTTTTTAGTTATACAATCATATGGTATTCCAATAATTATATACTAATTGGTTTCTCGTGCTACGCAAGTAGGCTAGATTAAACATATTTATTTAAATTTAATAGCATGTATTAAGTTGTCAATCTATTAATATAAATTAAATTAAAGGCAAAAGATAAAATTTTATTTAATTTCATAATTTTAATTAATTTTTGCATTTCATTCATTCTTTTTTATGTTTTCATAGATTTTGTTGTCAAAAAAATACAATTTTTTTTTTGTTATGCATTCATTCTTAAATAACAACTTGCAATAATATAAATAAAAAATTTTAAAAATATTTTAATATTTTTTTATAAGACTGCTTCAAATAAATAAAGTAACAATTAATATAAAAACTTTTATAAAAATTAACTAACAAATCTTTTTTAACTTTTTGAAAAAATGAACATTTAATTTATATATTTACAAACAAATTAATCAATGATATTAGTATAAACGAGCTTATTTGAATTATTAGGTAATTTTTTAAAATATTATATTATTTAAAATAAACTAATTTTAGAATGTTAAAAATAATTAATAAAAAATAGTTGATGCTATATGTGTAGATACATAGTTAATTTTCAATAAAATTAACGATCTCAATACTTTTTTGTATACATCATGACTATACATAGTGAGTCGAGTATATAATATAGATTAAAAAATATTTTTGAAAAAATTTAAGTTGCAAGGAATATATTGGAGTTAATAAAATGCAATAAAAAACTAAAAAATTTATTCAAAAAAAAATTGATTATATCAAGAATAAGCCAAGAAAGCAAGTGAATTCTATTGTTTATTTTAAAAACATATTAAAAATTTACACATAGAGAAGAATAAATCATATTTATTAACAAATAAAATTACATAAAAAATTAATCTGATAAGATTTTTTTTTATATAATGAACAAAAAATTTAAGAGATTAATTTTAAACAATAAGAAAATATAATCCGATATATGTTTTTATTCTAAAA